CGGGACTGAATGAGTGGAACCCTATAGCCCCCCAGCATGCCTACGATGAGCGACGCCCCAGCTGCAGCCCTGCTAGCCCTAGCAGACCCCTGACCCAACCGGCCACTTCCCCGCCGTCGAGTCCCACATCCCCGCGACCCTCTCACAGCTTCTCCATTCAGCTGGAGAGCAGCATGCGACGCTTCACCAAGGATAAGGACCAGCACGCTGCTGGCCCGTCACATACTTCTATCCCTCAACGGGTCATATCGATGTCCATCGGGGCATGCGACGAGGGCACCCAGTGAGTCCGGACAGCCGACGACGCAGGAGGACTGCGTCGAGTGTAATCAGATTCGGACGCAGCTGCATCAAGTGCAAGCCGAGATGGCCAGTCTGCGAGAGATGTTCGGAAAGCAGACGCGCGTGTCACGGCGAAATGAGAAGTAAAATGTCTTCGTCCAAGCATTCCTAGTACGTCAGCCTACTCTGCTGCAAGACGAAAGGTCTGACTGACTGATTCCTGACGATACTAGTCTTTGCAAACGACCGTATGAGGTATCTGAAAGTCCTGGCTTGTATGAAGCCGTCTTCTTGACAAGGGCGCAAGCAGTGTTTTTGACATTCGGGTTTTGAGGGGTTCCAGCGGGTTTGTTGTTCGGAGTTTCGGTTGTCATACTCAGCTTATGATTGCTATACTAGTCAATTCCACACAGGTCGATGTCTTTCCTGGTTTCAAGGCATCATGTTGACCATCCTTCGCTCGTGCAGCTATGGTACCTCGAAGTTGTTTCCCCTGAGCCGTGAGGCAGGCAAGGGAAACAATCCTTGCGACAAGCAGACCACAAGACATCTGCTTTCACACAAGCCAATGTCCTTTGTCGCCATGACGATAGGCAATCGGTCGTTTCGTAACAGCTCGTATGAGCCATTGTTGTTGTTCTCACCCGAGATGGTTGAATTCGAAACACGGTCACCAAAGAATATCACAACGACTTAGTCTTGTCCGCATACTGAGCAGCCTCGCTGTCAGGGCACCACCTTCTGGGCCTCTACTTAACCCTCCCGTCCGTCATACAGCCAAAGTGACGCTGCACGAGTTTAAGCTGCAAGACCACATTTTCTTGGTCAGTCTAAGCAACCATTTCACAGCATCTGACCTCAGGTCGCTCAACTTTACGACATCTCCTACACCAGTGTGAATCCCGCTCACAGGCTACTCAACAGCAGAAACTGAGTCAAATTCCAACAACATCATGCTTGACACAATATCATTGGCAGCCCTGGATCTCAACAGTGCAGACATAGCCGACGCTGGCAAAGGCCTCCACCAACAGGCAATCGATGAGCCCCATGCCGTCACCGAATATGCGGATTTTGCCGCCAATGGCAAGGCCCTTAGTCGCTCAGATGTTTTAGAAAAGGCGATAGAGGCCCAATGCAGGATGCTCCGAAAGTCCAGAGAGATCATTCGGGGGCTAGACAACCAAGTCATGTCTGATCTTGCAGTGATTGACCGAAAGAACAGGTCCCTCCACGAAAAGGACACGGAACTACTTCGCTTGACAAAACGGCTCAAGAAAGAAGGCCACGAGGCCATCGTATCGGACTTACTTCTATATGACGTGGCGACGGAACTGGCGCATCAGCATCAGAAGCTGAAGTTTGCCGTCTATCACGCGAATCTGTCCACATGGCGTCAGAAATTACTTCTGAATCAACTCGAAGAATCGCTACGCCATGGCCGAGAACCTGTTCAAGCTGTGATCAACAACTGGAAGTCCATCTGCATAGGTACAGATGGGATCAGCGACCTCTCGTCGGATAAGGCAGCTGTTGTACATCTTTTGAGAATCGTCGACGCACGAAATGAAGAGCGTCCATTACAAGATTGACCAAGACGATAGCTAACTATCTGTGCCCAGTGGACAGAACCTATGATAGAACCTAGGCCATGGATTATGCTGATCATGGGCATGGGATACGACACTGTAAGTATAGAAATGACGGTTATTGCAAAACCGGCTCAGGACAAGGGCTGCCACAGGTTTTAGAAGCATATGAAATAGCCTCCCGTGAATGCAACTAGGTCTGATCACCGTTTGATACCATCCATCGCCAGTGTCGCTTGAGTCAACAGAAACATGACCAAAGACACAACCACGACAACAGTGAACGTGACAGCCATCTGTACGAAAGAGTCAGCCACTCAAACCACGGGAGCTGGAGAGAGAGAATTCATACCTTGGCACTGTCATCCCACCAGCCATCCTCTGGCTTCTTATCCGGCCCAAACTCCGTCGACACCCACACGAGCACGAGAATCCCCGCAATCAAACAAACCACAGCCGCCACCAGAAACACCAAGCTCGCCTGCCACGCATACACCTGCCAAGTCCTGACCCTGACCTCGCCACCCCTCTTCTCGCCCGTCATGCTCTTCCGGATCCATCGGAGTCCCTCGCGGTGCGCGCTCAGGCGGTGCAGCCGCAAGCTCTGCTGCAGCGCCGTGAGGACGGCGAACAGCGCGAACACGAGCCCGATGTACCAGCACGCGCGAATGCTCCACGGCTGCTTGCGTCCGTTGTCGAGGACGTCGGGCCACGAGCCCGTCGAACTGAGGCAGGCGGCGAGGAGCGCGCCGACGGTGCCGACAAAGTTGAGCTCCTGGAGCTTGTGGTCGCGCCAGCGCTCCGTGAGGTCGTCGCGGAGGGCGTCGTCCGACTCGTTGAGGATGGCCTGGAGCGAGTCGAGTGTCGTCGAGTCTGGCGCGACGAGGCCGCCGTGGAAGATGGAAAAGAAGGTCGCCAAGCTGCCTGGCTGCAGGATGTGTTAGGCTCAATGAGCGATGGTGGGTGGCGGCTCACTGACTTGGCTCCTGTCTTCATCTCTATTGCCCGACTGGCCCGATATGGTTCCTAGGAGCGGCTGCGTCGACATGATGAGTGTAAGCAATTAAGTACTTGCCTTTCAGTCGCAAGATATATCCAATGCGAAAGGTGATGCTGTAGTTCAGATACTTGTGTTTGGAGGAAAACGATTCTTTGATGCATCTCGTTCAGCCCCTCAAAGTGACGTCGTCTCGATCTTCGACCAAGATTGACCATGTTGTCTGCACGTAGGCGACGCATGGTGTAGGACGGGATGACAGGTGATCAAATTCCAATGGATGCCCCCTGGTGACTGTTGATCCATGCACCTCTGCGTCAGCGGTGGTATGGCAAGCTCAGTTTGGCTGATCTCCGAAACTGGTAGGTTGAAAGGTTGAGCCAAGCCTGAGCTTCCATGTGCTAGGCTTGCAAGTACAGGCTACTGAGGTGACGCCCGTAACAAAGTCTCCGGCAACACCAGGATTATGTAGGCTGTTACATGTGGTATTGTGACTCTGTCAGGAATCACTGTCCGAGGCAGCAGGGAGCTGAGCAACATAGGCAAAGGTATCCATCCATTCCAAACTTACAGAGCCGGCCCAAACCAAACCTGGCCTTCAGCTCATCCCGCCAAGCTCATTTATGTACAATGCAATGCAGGCAACTCCACGCAACCATCTCCAGTGCTTCCTCGTCTGTTCGCTGTGCCAGACATCCCCTCCTTGCCCCCACTCATTACAGGAAGCGCATGCTTCCAGCCGGGCCCCTGTCGGAGAGAGCCTCGACCTCACGTCGGACGGTGCGCACCTCGCGGCGGATGTCGGCAACGTCCGCGCCACCAGGGTTCAAATTACCCATAGACATCGAAGCTGGGGGCAGGGCCTCCTCACACGAATCGAGAAGCTCCTTCATTGACTGCCAGACGGCGTCGCCACGGGCGGTCGAGTTGGCCCGGCGCTTGCATTCCTTCTGCCAGCTGTCCACAACATAGACGATGAGCTCGATCACGCGAATACGGTTGTTGCCCGTGAAGCCAACATCCTGGGCGTTGAAGATATCCTCCAAGGCATTGAGAATCGTGATGTGTGACACCTTCAGCTCGAAGAAGATGGTAATGGGCCACACGGGGTTGGCGCCAATCTGTCCGTCCTGGCCATACTCGATCGAGTATCGACTGAGGGCCGCGACGAGGAACTTGATAGGAAACACGAAGCTGTCGAGGCTGACCCGATGAGCAATATTGAGGACCTTTTGTGAGACAGACTCGTACGGCGTGAGCAGTGCCGAGATGCCAGGACCGGCCTCTTGCATCCTCCTGGTGGCCTCATCATGTGTCTGCTCAATCAAAGACGCCCACGTCGTCTCCACAGTGGTGGAGTTGCGATAGTCGGCAACATGGTAAATCAGGAGGCAGATGTCGAAATAGCCAGCCTGATCCGCGTAGTTATTGAAGAGCTGTTTCGCGTCAGTAAATCGCTATCTGCCACGAAGAGTAGTTGCTGCTTACCTCTGAGACATCGCGTACCTGGCCGTTGAGGGCCTGGTCAATCTCCTCTCTCCGCTCTTCGACGCGGGGGTCCGCGCTCAGACGCTGCAGGAGGTCGGCTTGAATGTTAGCAACATCGAGGCTCGCGGTGATGCTGTGAATGATGATTTGCTGCTGCTGTGAGCTGATGCCAGTCGTTCGGACTTGAGCATTTGCCTTGGCGTGCGACAAAAGGGTGACCCTCTCCTTAATGCCGAGGTTGAAGTCTGAGCAAGCAAGATCGAACTGCACCTCGGCGGCCTCAAAGTAGCGACCCCTTTGTGTGTAAAACCTGCAAAGAAGGTCGGCGTGATCGGCGCTCGTGGCTGACAGCCTCTGTAGGAATGTGATGACATGTGGTGAGTCAATGCTGAGAAGGCGGTCAGCCCAGCCCTGCTGGATGTACCACTCATAGAGATCCAAGTGGAAGACCTCGTCGTCAGTGCTATTGACAACCTCATACGCTTCCAGACGCTTGGTGCCGATCAAAGTGAGCCTGCCGTCGATCTCCTCAGGCTCGCTGCTAAGGGCGGCGTCAAGGTGTCGAAGAGCATCATGGATCAGATCGTAGCATCGCTTGCGCTCCGCAAAGGCATTTGCACGGGGATCCTGAGCAGGCCTACCCTCGTTCACCCACGACAAGGCACTGTTTCCCCTGTCCTTCTCGTGCGCTACAACAAGGCAGAGCTGGACGGCGCCAGCATAGTACTTGAGATCGATGTACTGGGACACGGCGTTGGAAAGGTTGATGAAAGAGAGGTTGCCGGCAACACGCTCAAAGAGCCTCAAGCTTTCGTGCAGCAAGCTTCGGGACTGGTTGCTGTTGGGTGGTTGTTCGGTCGCCCTCTTCAACTGCTCTTGGGCTTTGAAGATGACAACGTCGTCGGGGCTGCAGAAGCTTCCGCACCGCCTACGCAGCGCGTCAGCGACAGTCTCGACATTCGAGCCACTTTCAATATTGCGATTAACGATGGCTTTGACAAGAAGCTTTGCAAGTTCGCGACCTGAGGCTTGAGAGAAGAGCTTTTCGTAGGTGAGCTCCTTCAGCTGCTGCTGGGCATCTGGTTGAAGCCTCATGAATATCTCGTTAACACGCTCGTCGAAGAGCATGAGCACAAATGATATGCCCTCAGAGATGCTCTCCATCAGCTTCTGCAGCGCGTGAAGGGCCTGGTGCTCGGCTTGCAGCGCGACCTCTTCTTGTTTGCTAGCGACAAGCTGAAGATCCGAGGGGCCAGAAAGTCCCTGAATAAATCCACGATTCGTGTTGAGGAACCTCCTAAGACGCTCCAGCTGTTCTTGGACAGAGACAAGCTTGTTTGTAGGAACCCTGGATACGATATTGATACCACCGGTCGGGCTGAGGCCTGTAGAGACAACACCAGACTTCCACAGCGTCCTGATGAGACGGGTGAGGTACACGCAAAGCGCGTCATGCCGCGAAGATAGTCGGACGGAGGCGGTTGTGAGAGGTGTGCTGTCCGTTTCAGCAACGGTAGGGTTTCCGCCGTAGTCAACGAAGACTGTCCTTGCACGATCCTCGGTGGCCTGATCAATCGCACGTGGAGCGCCAGGCCTGGAATCTCCACCGTGGCCACAAGCGACTGCGAGTGCACAAGCAATCGTTTCAACGCGGCTGTAGAGCTGGATGAACTTTCGAGTCTCATGCTCGAGGCCCTCGTCTCCCACGGCGGTCCGCAGCGCGGAAGCAAATATGTCGACAAGTCGCCTTCGGCGAATGATGTGAACACCGGTGTTGGTGAGGACCGCAAACTCGCTAGGCTCATTGTCAAACTGAACGGCGAGCTCGTTTCCGAACCCAAGAGGCTGGCTCGAGGCTGCAAAGGGCTTGGTTATGAGGCCAACAGCTTCAGCTCGGCTACCGATATCAATCCAGTTACCATGCTCCCAGTATTTCAGCACAGAGGTCGGACCAGTCGCCTTGATGCGACCAGTCTCGGGAGCAGAGACAAAAAGTAGATCTGAGTTGGGCTGCGACTCCTTGACAACAAAGTCCAGGAAGTAGCCAGGAGCGAAGCGCTCGCCGAGCCTGCTGACCTCAAGCGCACGCGACGAGGCGTGGAACTCTGTGTCGCCAGCGCTGTTCGTAGCAGTGCGACCGAGCTGATCGGGGGGCGGGAATTTGATGTATTGTACCATCATGCTCTTCGGCGGAAGTGACGATTCCCCGTACACGCCGGCAGTAGCGCTCATGAAGAAGCGGCAGCCCGAGCTGGTGAGTGCCATGAGGTGGAGGCGAGTGGTCTCACGAGACGAGATGGGGCTTATAGAGACGATCTTCAAGTTGTTTGTGATGAGAGGTGAGTTGCGAATGATCATGTGTCCGATATCGCTGAGACACTGGCTCTTCTCCTTCTCGATCACCTTGACGAGGTCGTTGGCTCCGCTCATGTGGTACACACGGATCGTCGAAGTAGACGAAAGGGTGTAAAGAAGCTTGCGTGAGTCGTCGGCTACAATCTGTACGAGGTATTCCGGGGTCTTCGCGTTCCAGAACGGAGACTGGAAAGTCACAACGCCGGTCCAACCTGGGTTGCTGTGATTGATCCTGCCGCATCGACTTGAAAACCATCGCTCCTCCTGTTGATAGTACAGTTCGTTGATGTCCGTGTCGGTGCTGCCGCCGAAGAAAATGCGTCCATCGGTCGTTCCAGTGATGATCCGAACGTCACTTCCTCGTAGGGGCAGGTCCAATTTGGTCTGGTAAAGCGAGACGCTCTTGGTACCAGCTGCATTGGGCTTGGCGGAGAGACCCAGAAGGTTGATCTCTTGAGAGGTCGCGACAACGAGCATGTGGGTAATGTCGGCTACGAAAATGCCAGGCTTCGGCGGCACGAGGGCGACAGCGTGAATTGTGTATTTGACGTCTTCGAACCCGATGAGCTCGGGCTCAGGCTGGGTGTAGTCCCAGAGAAACAGTGAGTTGTCGATAGCAACCCACGCGTGGTTGATCTCGGCGAACAGTCCCATGAGTGTTTGCAGCTGGCTGGCGTTGTAGTGGTTGAAGATCTCGTTCGGGATTGGGTACATCTGGGTCTTGTGGAAGGGTGCCCAAGCAGAATCAATGCTGACGAGGTCATACTCAGAGGACGAGCCGGCTAAAGGAAAATCATCAGTGAAGCTCAAGACGGCGTGGATGATGCAAGGGCTGGAGAGATCTCACATTTGGCGTACGACTCTAGATCAGGATAGTTCTGATCTCGCTGAAGAAACTCGTTGACGGCTTGGGCCGCCTTGGTGACAGGGGGCACATCGGGTGCCTGCTGCTGAATGTGCGAGGCAGGAACCAAGCCGCCGCTCATACCAGAGGTTGTTGATGTCGTGACGGAGGACTGATTCGGCCTGGGGACGAGACTGCTGCTGGGCGCAGGATTCGCATTCCCATCGAAGAGACGCCTTCTGACAGGGTCGTCGTTGGATTGGAACCTGGAGGCGGCGGGGGTGTTGAGAAACGCGCCAGGTACAGGACGCGCCGGTGTGATTGCTGGGTACGACATTTTCGAGCTGGAGAGGTCGTGAACGGAAGGTGGTCGAAGGTCGATATGGCTTCACCGATCGAGGCAGCGCGTGGCCAGCGAAGGCTTGTTGTCGCGGTATGCAACCACCATCAACAACAAGAAAAGAAGATGGTGGAGCAATTGCCTTCGAGAGAGCTGGGTTGGCGAAGGCACTGGGGTCTCCTCCCACGGGTTGATGGATGGCCCTTTGATGGAGCAATGTGACAGGGTGAGTTGTCGAAGCAGCAGCGAGATGCAGCTGGCAATTGTCAGTGCTTGAACGTCGGAGGTCGAAAGGCTGCACCTGTTCCCGGGCAGCGCGTGGGAATTTTCGCGACAGGGAACGACTGGAGCTGGAAAGGTGCTCTGGGTGGTACCTCGCGCTAAGCCCGTTTCGGGGGCAAGGCTGAGGAGAGCTTGGGGCCCACCAAACGAGCTCCATGACTGACCATGACTCTCCCCGACTTTTTGTCACATGTCGACGAAAATGATGACGATGCATGGTCAATTAAAGAACCCCAAGACGTACAGATTCCACGCTCATTTACTCATCATAGTTCCTATCTAACAACGCATCCAGCCGCGTTGTGTGAAGCCTGCGACATGATCATAGGTCTGTCCGTATCGTCCTCTGATTACTCTGGTTTCTTCTTTTCAGCACCATGCCGCCTGACAAGCTGTACATCGCGGCCTCATAGTTCCAACCAGTCCCAGCCTTTGGCTTTTTAAATCCTTAAGCAGAATATAAAATCGACGAGGCGCACATCTTAGGCCTTCTTGGCCTCGCGCTCGGCCTTGCGAAGCGCCCGCCTGCGAATATCCTTGTGCATCTTTCCGTTATACCAGATGCCCAGTGCGTTTCCAGTACCGAGGGTGCTCTCGAGGGTCCAGACCATGATCGAGTGCGTCCACCAGGGGGTGTAGGTGTATGCCCAGTTCTGGTAGCTTCCTGATCCGATCTTGCCCAGCGTGGCCTTGACGAAGTTCTTGGGCGTGGGGATCAGGGCGCTGGCGCGGCGGACCTTGCTCATGGCGGTCGTGATGAGGTAGCTGAGGACGAGCTGTGTATCGACGCCGGACGGCTTCAGTTCCTCGGCGAGGGAGCTGTTCCAGTGCTGAAGGAAGGCCTTGCTGCCGGAGTAGGTGGCGAGGTAGGGAGTGGGGATCCAGCCGGCAAAGGAGCCCATCGTCAGGATGAGGCCCTTCTTACGCTGCACCATGATAGGCGCGATGATGGATGTCGTCTTCAGGGTGCCCAGGCAGTTGATGGTGACGATGCTCTGCAGCTCCTCGCGGGTCGTGTCGACAAAGGAGACGGGGATGCTGTGGCTCTGGCCGACGTTGTTGATGAGGATGGCGACGTCGAGACCAGCAACGGTCGCGGCGAGGGCGTCGTAATCGGCGTTGTCGTCACGAGCAAAGTCCATGGCCAGGATCTTGGACTGGACCTTAGGATACTTCTGCTCAAGCTCGGCGGCGAAGGCCTCGAGCTTGGACTTGGTTCGGGAGACGAGGACGACGTTGAAGCCCTTGCTGGCAAGCTGGAGAGCGAACTCCTTGCCCAGGCCGTCGGAGGCACCGGTGACAACGGCCCAGCTACCGGGCTTGCCATACTTGCGAAGCTGCGAATTATCCGGTCAGCACAGGGTCAGGAGTTGCGACTAGGTGGGCGAGGGCCAACTAACGCTGGTGCCGCTGAGAACGAAGACACTCAGGAGGAACTGGAAGTAAGACAGTGCCTTGGTCGCAACGAACAGAGCCCCAATGCCCGCCAGCACAGTCAGTGCCGACGGCGGCAGCCTGTCGAGGAATTCTGTCAGAATGGTTTGCATTTTTGCTGTCAAATAGGTGCTCTTGCGATGAGTGGAGGAGCAAGAAAAAAAGCCAAGCTGGACAGATCAGACAAATGTCTAGAAAGGAGAGAGGGGCCGAAGCTTCAAGCACGGGAAGCAAACTGTTCACAGGCCAGACGGAGCCCCGGCCGAAATTGTTGAGGTGCACACCTTCCGACCGAAAATCAATCAACGCGTCCAGGCGCCCTACCCCCCAGCAGAGGGAAGCTAAGAAGCTGACGTCAGACGACAGCTGCTGGCAGCCGTACACTGCTATGGAAACAGCTTCAGGGGGTCCCTTGCCCTGGAAGCTGGCATGAGCACCCAAGGCGCTCGAAAAGATCCGCTGCTGCACCTCACCGTCAGCCAATCTCCGAATCAGGGATTCTCTTCATCCTGTGACGCCGCCCAAGTACAAGAAGCAGAGGCTGCCCTTTCTAGGCTGCCCTTTCTAGTGTTGAAAGTGCTCGCCACGTACCCTCAAGCTCACGCCAAGCCCGCCATTCGAATACATTTGTCGAAATCGCCGCTACAATGGTCACCATCGCCGACCTCCTCCCCTCCTCGCAGGGCCTTCTTCCCTACTACATGATACTCGTACGGTCCTGACTGCCCCTCCTCGCCCAGCATTCCAAGACACCCAAGTTGACCAATGCCGTCCCCCCGCCCTCTTAGGTCTCCTTGATCTCCGTTGGCAACTCGGCCCAGTGTCTCTTGACTCTCCACTACACGCGCCGTATCTACTGCAACAAGTTTGTCACCAACACGAGCCTGGCGCCGAAATCCGCCCTGCGTGACCCGGAGGACTCGGTCCACAAGCTCGTGCTCGCCACGAACCGCGCCGCCGCCGGCAATGCCACCGACCAGGTCACGCCGCTCGCCGCCCGCCTCTTCGCGACCTGGACCCTCCTCGCCGCCGTCGTGCGCATGTACGCCGCCTACCACCTGGAGCACGCCCACATGTACGACCTCGTCCTGTGGACCTACGTCGTCGCGCTCGGCCACTTCCTCAGCGAGATGCTCGTCTTCAAGACGGTCAAGTTTGGCGCCCCCTCCGTGTCGCCCCTCATCGTCGCCACGACGGCCATGATCTGGATGCCCATGCAGAGGGGCTACTACGTCCAGCTGCCTTAATTGGGGGGTTCAATATGAGCCGGGGGAGGTCTCGCTCGGCACACGCTGCACACCGAAGGAGGAGGAGGACGAGGGGAACATTCCATCACTGAACGCTAGGAGACGCAGCGAGCATCAATTGACGTGTAATGATACACAATTCTTCATTGACTTGTTCTATTTCGCGCTTCTCATTTCGTTCTTTTTATCTAAACCCCTTGCTCCTACTCCAGTTGGTCGCGGTACAGCTTTCCTCCGCAATTGCGCAGACGGGCGGCGGCCTGCTCGGGGGTAATATCGCGCTGCGCCTCGGCCATGAGCTCGTAGCCGACGAGGAACTTGCGCACCGTCGCGGACCGCAGCAGGGGCGGGTAGAAGTGCATGTGCAGGTAGCTGTTGTCGGCCTCCTCGTCGGTCGCGTCGAGCGGGGCTTGGTGGATGCCGGCACCTGCGGGGGATGATTGTTAGCATGGTTCTCCCTGAGGCTATATGGAGTCCTCCCCCAAAACCGGCAGAAAAAGGGGGGGGGGTGAGAATGGGCGCGGCACGTACTGTAGGGGAAGTTTGTCTCGAACAGGTTGTCGTACCGCCTCGTGACCTCCTGGATGGCTTCGGCGTAATCCTCCCTCTCCTGGGCCGTCAGGTCGACGAGGGCGCGGATGTGGCGCTTCGGCAGGACGAGGACCTCGAACGGCCAGACGGCCCACCAGGGGCAGACGACGAGGAAGGTCTCGTTCTGGAAGACGATGCGCTCCTCCTTTTCCAGCTCGACCTTGACGTAGTCGGCGAGCAGATGGCGGCCGGCGTTGGCGGCGCGGTACTTGGCCATCTGCTCCATCTCGGCGCGCGGCTCCTCAGGGGTCGTCGACGTGGTCCAGATCTGGCCGTGGGGGTGCGGGTTCGAGCAGCCCATGGCGGCGCCCTTGTTCTCAAAGATCTGCATGTAGCGTAGCTGGGCCTTGGGCGGCGTGATGGTGGCCTCGGGCGCCGGCGCCGGCAGGGACAGCTGCGCGGCCTGCTTGGCGAGGGCGCTGGCGGGGTCGAGGTGGGATGCGTAGATTTGGGTCCAGATCTCAATGACGGGGACAATTTCGGCGGGCGTCATGTCGGCGAGGGTGAGGTGGTGCTTGGGCGAGAACGTGAGGACGTAGCACCGGCCGGTGGCCGACTCGGCGCGGAGCAGGGACGAGGCGAGGTCGGTCGAAGCATCGGGCGGGTTGTACTCGGCCTGCTCCTCCTTGACGGCGCTGTAGTCGTTGACGAAGATGAGCGTCTTCTTGTAGTCTGGGTTCGTATCGCCGGCAGCTCGCGCGTTGCGAGGGCACAGGTAGCACTTCCAGACTGTCAACAAACGGGCCAAAGACCACTACACAAGTCTTCAGGCTGGAACTCACAGCAGGATCGTACTCAGGGAGCTTGTTCTTGGAGGGCTCCTCCTTCTGGCCCCTGGTTCTTCGCTTTAGTCGGTGGTCTTTCCTGAACCGTCTATAACTATGGGAGATTCTTCTTACTGCCAGGGACGCTTGGTCCGGTGTGGTGAGACCAGCAGCCAATTGCCCCGGAGAGGGTTGTATCTGCGGTGGGAGATGTCGTCGAGGATGTGGTCGGGCATTGTGACGGGCGGTTGTTCTTGGTCCTGAAGTTGACTTGGGAATCTGAATTGAAAGGACGGGGATCCCTCAGAGAAATGAGACAGAGAGCTGGAGATGATGCCCCTCACTCAAGTTGGCGAAAAAAACGGCAAGTACGCTACGCTATGATACCGATCGATGAGGGGTGACATGGTGGGGTAGCTTCTGAGGGGACGGCGGGATTTTATGCGCTTGTGATTGTTGCTCAGAGCGTCATGCTACGAGTCTGGACTGTGAGACTATTTTGGTGCTGTCGGGAAAGTTGCGGAATTGGTGTCAGTAACCCGAGTCCAAGTTCCAACATGCGCGGTTTCTCTCGTCGAAAGCATCGCCATTGTGCTCGAAGGGTGTGCTGGGCTCCGAGCCTAGGGATGCCATCCTCTTTCAGACTGACTGAGTCTGCTGGCTTGCAATCTGGACAGGCCCTTGACATGAGGCCAGGAAAATGGCAAGCCAATGCCAGCATCTTCATACGGGATTCTGGGGATGGAAATGGATGGGTACGCCGGAAGGCGAACTAGCAGCTAGTGCTGTCTCGTCAAATCGCGCCGCAGTCGCCTCCATCGACGCGCCTCGCATCTTGCGGCCCGGTTTCGGGCCGACGCATTCGTCTGTCCTTGGAGGATACACTCGCCTCTGTCGACAACTTTCATCTTGAGGGTATGAATCCATGGTAGTACAGACAGTTTTCGCACCTAATAGTGGGTGGTCCAATACTTGGCAAACCAACCAACAAACCAGTGGCAATAGGCTACATCTGAGGAGAAGCAATGCATCCGGTGACAATGTCCATCCATGATCCATATGGTACCTAGTAAACATGGTCCTGTGAACCGATCATCTCGTGTGTGAATGAGGGAGCCTTGGGAGCCTCGCTGCATCTAGTACCACCTGGAGGCACCTGGCAGTAAGCATGAAATGTCATTGGCGCTGTGTTTACAGCACGTGCACTGAGTCGAACGCGGCGAGGGTCTCGATTATGTCATCGCCCGCACCTGCTGAGGCCCCACCAATGAGGGAGGCTCTCCAAGGCTTCTCCACCATCAAGCTTCCGATCCGGGGCAATATCGAATCGCGACACTGAACATCGTCACAACACGTCCAACCGATTCCATCAATTCCAGACCACCAAACATCGATTACGATTGATTCGAAGACCGAACTAGCAATTGCGCCCAATTGTCTCTCTTCTCATGTCAAATAGCCTGCGTGAACACATTGCGAACGCCTCCGACTGACTGCTGAACCAACGCGCCGGCAATACATCTCCGAAGACACGTTGAATCAGCCGGGCCAATTCGGTTCTACCCAATCCTCCGAGCACGTCTCGAAGTACCATCTGGCGACGCGCCGACGCAGTTTTGACTTCTCTTCGAGTGCAACATTCTGCCACTCTCTCAAACCCGTCCTCTTCGAGTGCCTCGGCTGGGTGAGGATCTCCCCAGGTATCCACAATAGCTGGAGACGAGGGCGCGATGGGCGTGATTCGAAAGACGACCGCCACGCGCGGTGGCGAAGGCGGAGTCAAGTACCACTGCGATGTCTGCTCGGTGGACATCACATCAACCGTAAGTCTTCATGCCAACCCAAGTCCTTGCGCCCGGCGCGTGGCGCGCCGCATGCGAATCCTGGACTGACCTCGCCCCTCGCAGGTGCGCATCAGATGCGCGCATAGCGCATGCCCCGACTACGATCTCTGTGTCAGTTGCTTCGCCCAAGGCAGCTCTAGCGGCAACCACAAACCGGATACCCACCCGTTCCGCGTCATTGAACAAAACTCCTTTCCCATATTCGATGCCGACTGGGGCGCGGACGAGGAGCAGCTCATGCTGGAGGGCGCTGAGACGTACGGTCTCGGATCGTGGGCCGACATTGCCGACCATATTGGCGGCTTCCGTAACAAGGACGAAGTACGCGATCATTATCTCAAAGTCTACGTCGACTCGCCGGCGTTTCCTCTGCCGAAAAGATGCAGCCCGCACGACATGGAACTGGCCAACGAGATCTCAAGAGAAGACTTTCAAGCGAAGAAGAAGGCGAGGATCGAGGAGCGCAAAGAGGCTGCTAAGAACGCCCCAGCTCTCCAGCCCAAAACGAAACCAACGGCGTCAGTACCATCTTGCCACGAGATCCAAGGATACATGCCTGGTCGCCTCGAATTCGAAACAGAACACGCAAACGAGGCGGAAGAGGCGGTGCAACTCATGCAATTCGATCCAGGCGATGGCATCAACGAGCGAACGGGCCAGATCGAGCCGGAGATGGATCTGAAACTCACCGTCATGGATATTTACAATGCACGACTCACACAACGTGTGAACCGCAAAAAGGTCATTTTCGAGCACAACCTGCTAGAGTACAGGGAGAACAACAAGCAGGAGAAGAAGAAGAGCAAGGAAGAGAGAGACCTCCTGACGAAAGCCAAGCCGTTCGCACGGATCATGAACCACGACGATTTCGAGGAGCTCAACATCGGACTTATGGATGAGCTCAACCTCCGCCAAGCCATCGGACAGCTACAAGACTGGCGCAACATGGGCATCGGCGACCTTCGAAGCGGCGAGAAATACGAGCAAGAAAAGGCATCACGCGTGCAGAAGGCTGTGCCCATGGGTTCCATGGACCGCGACCGTCTGGCGTCTGTTCAACGTAGCAAGGCTGCCGCCGCCGTGCCAGATCCACCGAGCGGTGCGGCTCAGCTCCTGGCGCCCGAGCTGTCGATTCGCCTGGCGCCACAGACAAATGGGGTCAACGGCGAGACTGGCGAGACCAAACCCACAATCAACGGCCACGGCGACATTGCCTCGACAAACGGCAGTGTCGTGGTTGCCAATGGCACAGGCCCCGTCACGCGTCAGAAGTCCATGCCGACACCAATTGCCGGCATCACGCCCATGACTCTCACCCAAGAGTCGGCGCCGGACCTACACCTGTTGACGCCCGAAGAAGTCAAGCTCTGCGAGATTGTGCGACTGCAGCCCAAGCCATACATCATGATCAAGGAACAAATCATGAGCCACGCGGTCAAGGGCAATGGCGCGCTTAAGAAGAAGCAGGTCCGTGAGATCTGCCGACTGGACTCACACAAGGGTGGCCGTATTTTTGACTTTTTCGTCACGGCGGGCTGGATCGGTCGGGCTTGAGGGTGTGGCAAGGAGCAGATGGTTTTGATTTCGTTGCTTGTATAAATGAGATACCCCACCGGCACGCACTCACCACGATGGCCATGAGATGGTTTCCAAGGGGTGGAAATGAAAGCACGGCCCGGGCATGTGGAGTTGGGTTATCAGGATGAATGGTGTTGTTGTGTTCTCTGGCAGGATACGTGGCGTCCAAAGGTGCATACGAGCAATGAGGAAGCGATAGGAACCTTTTTGATGAAGAAAACATATTGCTACCTGACCTGCTGACCTACGTGATGTGATGCCAGTGCCGACCCAGCGCCCTGGGATGGTCTCCTCGCATGCACAGTGGCCGATGCTCCGCTCGGATGTGATGCCGAGCGCGACCCCTGAATAATCACATGACACTGATAAGACGCTTATCAGCTTGGGAATTCGCCATACGACCAGTTGTTCGTATCCGAACAATTGAGGGATGCCAAAAGGGACCGTTCTCGCGACGCGCCCCAAAGATATGCCTAGGTTGATACCATAAAAAGTACCTCATTCTGACGGTCAGCCACGGAGCGCGCGCCTTTATCAGATCGCTCGCAATGGCCGTGTTAACGCATCTACTCGGCCTTGGCCTTGGCCTCATCCAGCTCGCCGCCGCCGTAGGCATTGACGACAGCCTGCCATCGTATCATTACGGTGCTCCTATCCAGGTCGAGTGCATGAACCGCAGCTCGTGAGTGCTTTCCCGTTTCTCAGTCGCTCCGGAGAATCAAGAAACTATGTTCCCTGAGGACGAAACGGCCCCCGCGCTCCGTCGGTACCCAGGTAGTCAATGGACGCACTGACGCAGAGAATATCAGAGACACGGGCGAACACCTCGAAGACGCGAATCACCAGCTCATCTGGATCCCGTTCCCCGAATGCAGCGAGACGGGCAAGCCGCTCGAGTTCGCCTACGGCATCGAAAGCGAGGTCAACTGCACGATCCCCATGATCGACGACCCCTTCTTCCACCTCCTCGAGTTCTACATCCACAACGACGCGCCGCTCTCGTGCCGGCTCCCCTCGCGGCCGGCGCCCCACGTCGAGATTGCGGGCCAGAAGCCGCCGGAGCGCGAGTACGTGCCGCTCGTCTTCGCGCTCGCCGGCACCCTCCAGCTGTCGCACCTGCACATCAGCACGCACCTCAACGTGCTCCTGCACTCGGTGCCCAAGCACCACATCCACCCGCACGACTCGGGCGTCCTCGACTCGGGCGCCGCCTACAGCACGAGCCCGCTGAGCCACATGCAGGGCACCGCCTCGAAGCGCCTCGTCATCGGCGACCCCCTGCCGCTCTCCTTCTCCGTCCGCTGGTTCCCGACGCCAGCGCTGCCCAAGACGGAGGGCACCGTCGAGTGGCAGGGCATGGGCGGCCACATTTACGCGAGTACCGTCTTCTACAGCATTGTCAGCTTCGGCGCCGGCGTCACCGTGGCCGGCGCCTACTTCCTCGGCGTCGTGCTGCCCAAAAGGCTGAAGAACAGGACCCTCGGCGGCGCGACGCCGCTGGGCTACGGTGTCAACGGCGTTGGCGTCGGGAACGGATGGGGGTACTCGAAGGCTTCGAAGCGTCTCGACTGAGGCGTATCAGTATAGACCCAGGCGCCTGTGTATGTGTGTATGCCTGGTTGATTGGCGCGTTCTACGACGTAATGTTACAATATTGGCGAGATGGACGCCGTGGACAAACGCTTTTTTTCTTTTTTGTGGCTGTATGCCTGTATGTTCTGGGAGCTTCATGGGTTTTCTTTTTTCTATCTCTTGTTACATGGGTCGGATCACTTTCCCTCCCGCCTGCATGAAGTGTATGACTAGAACAAAGAATTGTGCCACCTCCAGAAGAAGAGGCAAGATGGCAAATGCTCAATCGTTCTTCTTCGTCTTGATGGCCTTTGTCTGATCCGCCGCCTTGGCCCGAGCCAAAAGCCGGTGGCCCATGTCGTAGGCAAGAATGCTCGCTAGACTCTGTCAGTTTGCGACAACCATCAACACCAAAGAAGACTCGGCCGAACGTACGGATGAGGACCCAAGGGCCGTAGATCAAGAACATAAAGTTGGCCTTCTCGGACGTGGTGTACACGGCACGATCCCAGTAGGGCACGTCAAAGACGCATGTCAGTGTCGTCAGGGCGACCTCGACGCCGTAGATGACGCAGGCCAGCTCGAAGCCAGGCGTGGTGCCCTTGGTGTGGTCCTCGAAGACGCGGAGCATCCAGAAGACCATGGGCAGCTGGTAGGCAATCTCGAGATAGGTGAAGAGCAGGAACCACGAGGGCAGCTCGTCGTGCGGCGTGACAAAGTACCGATCGTTGTACGCGTCAATGTAGTCCTGACGCAGGCGGAACAGGATGCGCAAGGGCGAGCCTTCAGAATTGCCCATTGTGGGCGGGTAGAACGGCGGGAGGTCGACAACTGGCTCTCATTAGGCTCTGGCTTCCTTCGACGAACAAGAGAAAATCGCTTCAGAGAATCCCATCCGAGGTTGATGCTTACGTAGAATCGCAATCAGCTGGATGCCAAAAATGATCATGTAGACATAGTCCCGGCGCAGCTTAGGTGAAGCAGACATGATGGGCTTTGCGGAGGCCTGACGACTCCTGGTAAGCTGGAAGACGTCGCCCAATCGTGGGAAGATGATGAAACGTGATGAATCGCGATGCCGACCTCTGCTCTGTCGCGTGTTCGCGATGTGGTAGATGAGATGATGGTTTAATGCTACAGATAAGGTCTACAGTGGACACGAGCCGTACAACTGCAGCCAGCTGGCGTCTGCCCCTATTCTTCTAGACTCGTCCCGGCCATCGCCGCCCGCCGCTCTGTCTGGAGATGACATCTCCAACGTTTGAACCACATCTACGGCAGGATGATCCCAATTGTCGCTCGATTGTTACGAGTCTTTTCTCCAAGCACTTACTCAGTTGATGTGCCTACAATAGCGCGACTATGAGGAAGAATGTCGCCAGGACACCCGCAAACGAGACCATGGGTGCTGAACCCGAACTGGGCACCGGGCTGTTCCCGCTGCCCTCAGCCGTTCCATTGCCGCCAGCGGCATCAATGGTGAAGTAGGTTCCTCCGATGGCCGGCCCAAGGCCGGCTTGGGTGCGGAATTGGACCAGCTGTAATGCATCATCAGCCAACGGTCAAGACACAGGAAACCGCCCAAGCCTCGTCATGGAGCATGACGGCTGGCAGCGAAGAGGATACCCACATCGAACTTCTGCCTATCATCGGCAACAAGACCCACGGAATCGAATCCCGCACCGTTGAGCGCCTCGGGCTGCACGTATAGCAGGTAGATGTACCTGTGCACGCCCGTGCCAGCCGGGGGTGCCGGCGGCCCGTAGCTCGTGAATGGCGCAGACGAATTGACGAGCGTCGACGCCGTCGAGAGGACTGAGGAGACGGTCGTGCCGACGGTGAAGTTGCCGGCAAGGTAGTGTCTGATGCTGCGGTTCGTGGGGTTGGCGCGGCTGGGGGCGTCAGGCCCGACCTGGTCATCAAGTCAACTCTCACGAGAACCTTACCTGCGGAGCACCTGGGGGCGAGGCATCACTAGGGGCGAGGCGCAGGCTTCACTTACCATGACGATGATGAAGCGCGTCGAGTCGCTCACGTTGGCGGCATTCGCGATGCCCTCGACGCTGAACTCTTGCGGGGCCACAGCCTCTGCGGTGGACAGCTCCGTGCCCGGCGCGAGCAGCGCGGCGCCGTGACCATCTGCCGTGTGGTAGCTGGCGTAGAAAGCCACTGTCGGGTTGAAGGCAGCGAGGACATCGGGGACGATGCCGTCAGCTGTAAAGGTGGTGCCAAAGTCCTGCACTGAGACGCTCGACGCCGTGTGGCCTTCAGCGGCGCCATTGCCTTCGTCGCCGTGGCCCAGGACAAGAGGCAAAACGGCCGCCAAAGTTGTCGTATTTCTCATGATCGAGAGTTGATTGAGTGCCGACTAGTGGGTTCGGGTAGGCTCGAGATGAGAAACCACTGACCGCTACGAGGCATATGAACTGTCTACTGCGGGACACCGTCGCGTCTCGTTGTATGCCTTTATACCTGTCCTGACGAAGCGTGCATTTCGATGCTACCCTCGTGTTTTCGTCGGCTGCGAGAACATCTGCGCCATCAGCAGCCGAAACATGCGCAACGAACCCAACGGATCATGACCAAAACATGCTCAAAAGAAGTCTCAAACATTGCGCATGACGAGACCTGAAGAGTGTGACTGAATCGAGCTTTCGTCGCGGCCGCTAGCATGAGCATTGGGCGTTGGCGTCTCCCAGAGTTTCAAAAACTTGCGCACCTGATCCTACATCCGTGTCAGCCTCAGTCATTTCTGATTATGAAGAATTTACATGTAAGCATCTTAGGGTGCCGTTTGAGCTCGCTTGACTTCTTCTTCAATCTCCATCCTAACTCTCAAGTGAAGAAAAGAGCCTGGCAAGGCGGACAGACAGACCAGTGTAGCTGGCACACTGAACGACTCATGCTAAACGAATGGAATGTCAGAGCAAGCCAGCCTGGATTGAGAAAGGAAAAAGCACATCAAACCCCTTTGCGTCCGGAGATTCAACATGTCGTGTTGGATGGTTACGTGACTTTTTACTCTTCCGGTCGCAAAACACCAAAACATGACGGGCTTGTTCTATCCTGCGATTACACAGCTCCGAAGTAAAATACATCGTCAGCCCCTCCAAAAAGTAGGCTTTCGAGTTCCAGTTGAAGGAAAAGGAAGTGATCGTGATGAATCAGTCCTTGAAGCAGAACCCTTTCCGCCTGGCCTACATGGGGGCGGGGCAGGTAAAGCTGTGCCGCAGATACGATCTGCATCGTCAACGTAAGGTTCTCAACACGGCAATCATCAGACCACAACAACCAGCGCCGTGGTCTGAATGACCATTGACAGTATCATCGCGAGTGGGTGCTGACGTCAATGTCCTGACCGCTGCACAAACGGGAGCTTGGCGGCGGTTGGTGGACTTGGTGGCTTGGGTAATATTCAAGATGTGACCCCGCATAGTGCAGATGTGAGAATCGAGAATAAACAGGAGATGTTGGGTGGATGGCCTGCGAGGGTGAATGAGAGGTGCATAGCCCAGATTCCGTCGGGATCGGCGTGCTCGATTGTCTCTCGTTTCTTTGCGTCTTGAAGTGGTGCAGTCTGCTCTGCAATTCAACTTCCAATACAGGCCGCATTGCGCACCGAAACATATCTGGTCAGATGAGATCCTGTACGCGATTGAAAACAGCAACATGAGCCAGTCTGCGGCGGATCCGTCAACAACGGCGACGGTCACAGCCCAACCCAGTGGCATGCTCGCACCATCACATTGGGTCGACACAGCACCACAGGCCGAGGTGAGTGGCCGCACGAGACGCATCCTCTCGGGGAAGAGCGAAATGACGCCGGCATGGATAGCTGACGGGCAGCTGCACAGGAAGATGGCAATCGGGGGGCAACAGTCGACGACGACGACTCGGCGTTCATGGACGAGGGCGCAAGCTCGAGCGCCTCCATCAGTTCCAGCATCCTACAGTACCGCGTCATTAACGGTCGGACGTACCATTCCGACCGCGGTGACGCGACATACTGGGCATCGAACGACGACCAGCAGAACGAGTCGCTTGACATCCTGCATCACCTCTCTTACCTGTCGATGAACGGCAAGCTCCATCTTGCGCCGCTGAAGAAAGAGTCGGTCAAAAGTGTCCTAGATGTTGGCACAGGCACAGGCATCTGGGCCATTGACTTTGCCGACGAGAATCCCGGCAGCGAGGTCATGGGCACCGATATCTCCCCGATCCAACCCTCGTGGGTGCCGCCAAACCTTAGGTTTGAAATTGAGGACTTTACCAAAGCCTGGAGCTTTGCTGACAACTCCTTCAACTATGTCCACATGCGATACCTGTTCGGCAGTGTCACCGACTGGTATGAGCTTTTCAGACAGTCGTACCGCGTCTGCCGACCAGGCGGATGGGTCGAGAGCTACGAGGGCTCCGCCATGTGCTACAGCGACGACGGCACTCTCAAGCATGACAGCGCCATGGCCGAATGGGGCAAGTTCTTCATCGAGGGTGCGAAAAGGCTGGGGCGCGTCTTCACACCGATCCCTGACAGCCTCCAAGAGAAAGGGCTTGAGGCGGCCGGGTTTGTGGATATCACGTCGTCAACGATGAAGATTCCGGTGGGAGGCTGGCCAAAGGACGAGAGGCTGAAGGAGATTGGTCGTTTCGCGCAGCTGACGCTCGAGTCGGACGTCGAGGGCTACGTGTCTTTCATGGCTGGTCTGCTCGAGGGATGGACTCAACAGCAGATATTGATGTACTGTGCCCAGTTCAGGCGTGAGCTCAAGGCGAAAAAAGCGCACGGCTACTACCTACAACGTGTGGTGTATGCACGGAAGCCTGAGACGTCAACAGCTTAGGCCCCTTGCCTATTGGTAAGGTAGGCATAGTCGCCTCTGGGGAATATAATGGTGAATTGCCCGGACATGAGTCAATGCACCTTACAAAGCTAGCGAAATTTGATACTTTGAAAGATGCTCTATATTCCTTCATGATGCATTTGAGAGCAAGTCGTGGCATTGTTCGTCCTAGGATACTAGAGTTTGATCTACAGCTGGTAGATCAGACGCAGCATGGTTGGTGCGAGGCACAGCCGCTCGCCGGATCGTCAATCTGGAGCGATCTTCTTCCCCAGACGAATTGACGACGCGGGAACGGCCCGGCTCCGCGGTCATCTTGAGTCGTGCAAGAAACATCTCACCCAATTGTTGAAAACTGACACAGGTCAATCGCCTTGATATTACAAGTAAACAGATCTTGCCTGCCTATGATGAGTCGCAAGCGGACACCCCAATCGGTGGACGGCTGAGCGTCCTGATTCGCGCTATTTGTTACTGAAGGGGCTCAATCCATGACGCCAGCAAGCTTCTTTATGTTGATTTTGACTTTCTGAGTTGATTAACCTTAATTTAGGCGCGTCCTGCACCTCAGCCACAAGTACCATGGCACCGGGTGCTACAGTAGTTCAGACAACAGGATCTGAGGCAGATGATTGAAAGATGACGGTAGACAAACTCGACAATGGGATCGCACAAAGTTCGCTTTGGTCACGACGAGATCGATGCTCCCAAGGTGGGTTCGCGCTCACCTCGAACGGGGCCGTTTGTCCGTTTGTCCTTGTCAGGGGTGGCCTGACAGCTGGAGTTCTGGCAACCGGAATCGCGCCGAGGTTGGTTTTGGGACGATCCGGCACTTGGGCCAACGAACCACATGGGAGCCATCCATCAGACGGCCAAACGGCTGAAAAGACAATTTCAGCGAGCCATGGGAAATCTTTACTATTGCCTGGGATTGGAGTCTCCTGGTGGACGCGCCGCCGTTACGCTACAGGCGTCGTTTGGTAGTCTGTTTCGCAATGAAATGAAGGGCATGAGAACAAGGGAAATTTCAATTCGTTTCCATGTGGGCGGCGTTTACCTTCCCCTCACCAGTGAAGTTGTTGTCGACCATTGGTCCCTCACTCCGATTACACGACGACCGACTTCGGACTCGTATTACAGGTCGTTGTTTGCTGTGTCACTGCAATTCGGTGCGAAGTATCAATTACGAATACCAAGTGACGACGAGAGAACTTGGCCAATGGCATTGTACAGTTCGCTACACTCACGCAGGGGGACCCTGTCATGCGCCGTTGAGTGATTCTGGGCGCGCGACGATCAGGCCCAGTTGCAGTCAATCGCCTCCCGCGATTCGAGTCAGCTGCTTCGCTGGATGAGAAAGGGGAAAAGAGGCACGGACGGGATAGGGACTAATTCGTGCAAGGCTGCCACACCGCTGGCTTATCTTTTCCAGAATAGGAGGGTGTTTTGCCAGAGCGAGTGATTTACGACGACTTCGCTCTCGTCGGCGAGTTCCGACCCCCTTTCAACTATCACGACCTAGGCCACTTTGCCGGCGGCAACGCGACAGAGCATGGCCACTCGAGCTGCCAAGCCGTCATGGCTCCTCGGAGAAGATGGGGGCGAAGAACAACTCCCGTTCCCCCGCGATGCAGCCGGAGCCTCCAGTGGCCTGAGATATCTGATGCTCGAATGTAGCTCAATCTATGCCTTGGCTCCTTTAGGAAGCTTGTTTTCCAGAACGGCGCTTGTTTCGGGTGATGTACATTAACGGTGCAGGCGATGTGCCTGGAAGAGGCAATTGGTAGGATATCACGGCACGCTTGGGTCGCCGACTACGGGGGGCGCACAGACTCGTGAGGCCTCTGACCAAGGCAGCGGGTTCCTGGAGGCCTCTGACCAAGGCAGCGGGTTCCTGGCCTTACCCGCCCTCCCATCCGCAATTTCCTTGATGTTGAGTGCTCTCTGCTTACCACCGTCCGTTCTTGAGGTGTGTGGCCGACGCCAGGACCGGCACTTAAAACCTCTACCGGCGGGGGACCTTCTCTTCTTATGCTTAGCGCCGGACCGCCTCCGCACCTCTGCCGGATAACCAATCCAACCCTGGTCGTCTACAACTCAATCGATCTCTTATCCGGGGTGGAACTTGGCTGCATTTGGCATGTGGTAAAAGATGTGGCTCTCGACGCCATACGCCAGCCTGAAGACGTATCAAGTGACCGAATAGGTCGGTTCTCGATAGGACTACCATCGTCAACTCGAGCGATGGGGACGCAGAGGGTGTGCTGGAGAGCAGATATAAAGAGGAGACGAGTGGCGCAACTGGTATAAGTCTTTGCTCTCATCATCCAACTCATCATCTCTTCATCGCTTCTCCGTCCAGACTCAGTCTTCGCCTCGCGGGTTCTCAATCGTCACCATGCTTTTCAAGAGCCTCTTCGTTGCCGCCGCCACGGCTGTCGGTGTCTCCGGCCATGTCGCTCGGGAAGCCCCCAGGACCTTCGGCTGCGGTACTCACGAGCCCTCCGCCGAGCACGTTGGCATGTCCAAGGTCCTCGCTGCCCAGGAGGCTCGCGTTCTCGAGTCTGGCAACCTGACCGCTCGTGCCACCATCAACGTCAACGTCTACTTCCACGTTGTCGCTGCCTCCCAGACCGTGGCCAATGGCTACCTGACTGTAAGTCTGACAGAACAAACTTTGATCTGGATAGAGGTGCTTACACTCTCCACAGGACAAGATGGTCGCGGACCAGATCGCCGTTCTCAACCAGGACTTCGCCCCCCACGACGTTGCCTTCAGGCTGGCTGGTACGGACCGCACGGTCAACACCGGCTGGGCTCGTGACAGCAACGAGATCGCCATGAAGCGCGCGCTCCGCAAGGGCACCTACAAGGACCTCAACCTCTACACCCAGGTCACCCTCACCGACGACGCCCTGGGCTACGCCTACTTCCCCACCTCTGGCGCCACCAGCGGCAGCACCACCTTCATCCGCGATGGTGTCTCGATCAAGGCCCAGACCGTCCCCGGCGGCACCCAGGCCGGCTTCAACCTCGGCAAGACCGGCACCCACGAGGTCGGCCACTGGCTCGGTCTCTACCACACCTTCCAGGGCGGCTGCACCGGCTCCGGCGACCAGGTCTCCGACACCCCCGCCCAGGCCAGCTTCAGCAGCGGCTGCCCCATCGGCCGTGACTCCTGCCCCGGCCAGGCCGGCCTCGACCCCATCCACAACTACATGGACTACTCTGACGAGTAAGTTGCTGAAGAGCTCTCTCCCTCCCCCAATCTCATCGGAGAGAACCAACTTGCTAACATGATTGACCACAGCTCCTGCTACGAGGAGTTTACCCCCGGCCAGGATGCCCGCATCCACAGCTTCTGGACCACCTACCGTGCTTAGACGGAGAGTTGAAACACTCTCATGAGCGGAAGAACCCCAAAAAAGTCTATTCGATGGGATGTTTGCGATCGAGGCGTTAGGTTGTGATGTGGCATCAGTTCGGGAGTAGCTGCATGTATTGGCGGCTTGTAGCATGTACTGGTGGCTTGTAGCATTGGCGGTTTGTTGCATTGGGCGAGGAGTTCAAGACTTCTTTTGTTGGCGAGTCTTGTTGTAGCAGTGATGACGACGATGATGACGAATTGGCAACCCGAGATGGCATGTCAAAAATGAAATTTTTGGATTCACGGCTGGACTGTTTTGCATCTGCTCGGTGTAGTGATTCGAATCCACTGCAGTCATGTTACCGTGGATAAGAAATTGTAGACTGCAACTAGAAGACTAATCACATGCACCAGAGTTGTGGAATTAGAGGTTTGACATAGTGTTGGCAAGAGTCAAAACACACCACTTGGATGATCCACGAGTTGCTAAAAAGCTTACAGCACCAGTGTGGAAACTGCGATTTACTTGCTGTGAAAATTCCTTATGAACGTCACCCATAGCGTCAGTTCTGGTACCTGGCTGGGTCTGCAATCTTCACTGAGTGAAGACGGGTACACCGTGGTACTTCATCGAAGGCTTGAAGCTGACAAGTGTCTCAGAGTGATGCAAGCCGTCGGCCTTTGTGTCACGGTGTTCTCTCTATACGTACTGTCTAATTTATTCAGAGCTGCGTGCCTCCCTACGGAACACCCCCAAGATTAGCAGCTTTAAGGCAACATGCTTGAATGTTCCGTGTAGAAGGTCTGGCTAGTCTCAATGGGAGAAGTAATGCTACGAAGAGGCAAAGAAGACTATGTGGAAAAGTCGTGACCTGCGACAAGAAAGACGAAAACCTCCGCTTATTTTTTCCATTATCTTCTAAAATAGCCGAACATTGAAGAGACTATACGTTTGGCCGATCATTGTGGAACACATGATTCGAGTCGTGTTTGCACGTTAGCGCTCTGCTTGACAAGTCAAGTCGAAACTTTCTGGCCAATGGCTTGCAAGGTCTTGGCTGTAGGTGGCAAACGTCGCACTCGGATGAGAAACTCAAAACTGATCAAGGCCTGAGCAGTACGCGTCAGCAAGTCGTGATGACCCGTCGCACAACAGTGCAACTGTGGTTCATTTACGTCTCCAATGGCTGCCGATCAAAAACTGGAGAGATCGTCTCGAGGTGCAGTGAACGAACGAACAGGTAGATCAACGGTCTCACTCCTCGGGTCGATCTGCCAGATCGGCACTGATAAGCTCCTTACTTGCCAAAGCTTCAATGCCATGCTTGTCAGTGGGTGTCGAGCGATGATCACTTGCAAACTATTGAACTCGAGCAATAAGGTCAGCATGTTTGCCACAATAGCTTGACAAACCTCCACGAGCATTCCGTTTCATCCTTTTCAGAGATGTCGACTCTGAATGAAAAGAGGAAGAAAGAAAAAAAGAGTGGGTTTCCACTCGTCAGCAAAGAAAACATATGGAGCATTGCTACCCGAAGACTGAAAAACGAAGATAGCGTCGCGTGGAACGTTGACCCGAGAAACGGGTCAAGTATTGGGGAGCTACCATGGCTCATCAACTCGAGGCTGCCGAACTGCCGCCTCAAACAAGCTAATGATCGTCACGATCCAGCAGATATAGGATGAAGAGCGGCGGCATGGGCCTCATATGGACTGTCTGGAGTGTACGCTCCGTCGGCAGCTGGGTCTCCATCGTGGGGAAAGCCAGCCACCCACGGCATTCACGGTCCGGTAATTCCTTTCGAGCTGTAACACCACGCCTCTCCTAAGCATATGGCTTGTGTAACAGTCGATATGTGCGGCGATAAGGCATCTTTTGAGTATCACGAAGGGACGGAAGGCCTGCCGCACCATCAGTAAGGCACCGCAATCCGACTGGAACTTGCCGCTGCGAAGCCAACGACGATGCGAATTCTGGGCTTCGGAAATCGAGATTCCACGATGAGAGCCACATGGGTCGACACGGCGAGCCAATGGAGGCGGAAGCCTGTAAATGAATGCCCGTGTACCAATGCAGCGGCCCATGTTGTGATTGAGTTCCGGCCCCGAAGAGGAACAGCCTGTTCAACCATAACCCTGCAATCTTACATTGACAGAGGCAAGACGATGAGACAGGCTGCGAGGGACGGAGATCCGTTCCACAGATAAACAAGCATCAAATCAAGGGTATTGTGCTGGCTCACGCCGGGCTGGTCGCCGTTCCAGAGGGCCGTCACCTGATCGTCGGCCGGGCATGGGTGCCCAAAGGGGAAATGCGGCGGATGATCAGATCCGGCTCCCTTTCGGGCAAAGTCCAGGGCGCATCAAGGTGGGGTCAAGCTTGAGGTTGCTAGATTGAAGTTACTATGGAGGGTTGGATCGACCAAGCAAGGCGTTCAGTCTCCCAAGTCATGGCAATGTGACGACGTGCCGGTTCCGGGTCTGGACTACTCGATGCTTAGATTGGTCAAGCTCGCTGTCAGAGGCCGCGTCTGTACATCAAGTGGTGGACGAGTATATTACAGCAGAGCCCCCGTCCTGCGCCCAGGTCTGGGCATCGCCTCTTGGCATGCCATCGCCTCTTGGCATTTTCCCTTCTCGGCGTTGTATGCTCCGGAGAGCAGAATTAGGGGATTATCTCCTCACACGCCTGGTCCAAGCGACGACGACAGCGACGACAACCGAGCAAAACGCCCGACAGAGTTTGACGCACATACCACGCAGAGAAGGGACTGGCTGACTGACTGACTGGCTGACTGACTGACTGGCTGACTGACTGACTGACTGACTGACTGACTGGAGAGACGGCCACATGAGCGTCCTCGGCGGTTCAAGCATTTTTTCCGTCATGACAAGGCGACTGGGCAGTGACAAGGCGACTGGGCAGTATTGGCAAGGGTCCACAGACACGAGGGGACCCATGGCATTTGCGATTCTCCATTGCCCGTCTTGAGCTCCATCCTCATACGGCTTGCCCCGGCGTCGCCACATGTGGCTACCCAGGTACCCAGGCCAGCTCTAAAGACACCTCTCCCCGTTTTGGGGTGCCTTGTTTCTGGGCTGTGAGGAGGATCGTGTGAGGAGAAGGGGTTGGTGCAACACGTGGGAGTGTAAGTCTATCACTCGAAGGGATGACCCGGATCGACGAGACGGCGTCTGCGAGCATGAGATCCTACCTCGCCTACAGACGTGTGTGACCATCAAGGCACTTCGCCCACCGTCTGGCCAGGACCTGGGCCCATGGTCAGTCTTCCGGGAACCGACAGGTCGAGCCGCAAGAAGACTGGAGAAATTTGGCGCGAACCAGCTCTCGTGACCCGTCAAACTGGGGAAACCGGCTCGCCTTGGGGTCGCTACCGGCCCACACATGAGGGGCAAAGTACTATGGGTTTGCGGATGAAGATTCCTGCGAGCCGCCGAGGCCACGACGGGCCGTGGCTGGGTCAAGCTGGGGGTGTGAATCGCGGGGAAACACCACGATGTCATCTGGGCTCTTCTCCTTCCAGAGCGGCACCCCGGAGCGCCCCCGCACATGTTTACCCCTGACGGGACAGGAGCAAGCCTGTGCGGCTCACGGAGGGGCGGCCGCGGGGGAGGCAAAACTCACGAGATGCTCGGATGGCCACTCTCCGCCGCGAGGCAAAAGTGGCGACTGACTGGAAACGCGTCGAAAGCAGCGAGATGAGCGGCATGTTGGCACTTGATCATCGTGATATAAAGAAGGACGGAAGTCCGGCACCACAATCACTCTTTTTTCCCCCTCTCCTCTCATCCTCATCCTCAGTCTCTCAACCACATCCAACAATCCTCAACTCCCTCAACTCCAACAACTCTCTCCTCCTCTCCTCCCATCTCCCACCCACTCCAACCGTCACCATGAAGACTGCGATTCTCAGCGGCCTCTCCCTGCTGGCCGTGGCCATGGCCCAGCAGGTCGGCACCGAGGAGCCCGAGGTTCACCCCAAGATCACCTGGAAGCGCTGCACCGGCACCAACGGCAGCAACTGTGCTACCGTCAACGGTGAGATCGTCATCGACGCCAACTGGCGCTGGGCCCACAACGTCGGCGGCTACGAGAACTGCTTCGACGGCAACGACTGGACCGGTCTCTGCACCGGCGCCGAGGACTGCGCCAAGAACTGCGCCGTCGAGGGTGCCAACTACGGCGCCACCTACGGTGTCTCGACCAGCGGCGATGCCCTCACCCTGAAGTTCGTCACCCAGCACAACTTTGGCACCAACATTGGCTCGCGCACCTACCTCATGGAGAACGAGTCCAAGTACCAGATGTTCACCCTGAACAACAACGAGCTGGCCTTCGACGTCGACCTGTCGACCATCCCCTGCGGCATGAACTCGGCCCTCTATCTCGTCCCCATGAAGCCCGATGGTGGTCTCTCTGACGAGCCCAACAACAAGGCTGGTGCCAAGTACGGTACCGGTTACTGTGACGCCCAGTGCGCCCGTGACCTGAAGTTCATCAACGGCAAGGGCAACATTGTCGGCTGGGAGCCCTCGCCCACCGACGACAACGCCGGTGTCGGTGCCATGGGATCTTGCTGCGCCGAGATCGACATCTGGGAGTCCAACCGCGAGTCGTTCGCCTTCACCCCCCACGCCTGCAAGAACAACAGCTACCACGTCTGCACCGACACCACCTGCGGCGGTACCTACTCCGAGGACCGCTACGGCGGTGGCTGCGACGCCAACGGCTGCGACTACAACCCTTACCGCCTCGGCAACACCGAGTTCTACGGCCAGGGCAAGACGGTTGACACACGCTCCAAGTTCACCGTCATCTCCCGCTTCCGTGACAACGTCTCCGAGCAGGTCTTCATCCAGAACGGCAACGTCATCATTCCCCCCAAGCCCACTCTCGCCGGCCTGACCCAGTTCAACGCCGCCATCACCCCCGAGTTCTGCACGGCCTACCCCACCATCTTCGGTGACCGCAACCGCCACGACGAGATTGGCGGACACACTCAGCTCAACGCTGCCTACCGCCTGCCCATGGTCCTCGTCCTGTCTGTCTGGGCCGACCACTTCGCCAACATGCTCTGGCTCGACTCCATCTACCCCCCCGAGCGCCGTGGCGAGCCCGGTGTCGCCCGTGGCCGCTGCCCCGAGACCGGCCGCACCCCCGCCGATGTCATCCGCAACCACCCCAACGCCTCCGTCACCTGGTCCAACATCCGCTTCGGCCCCATCGGCTCCACCCACAACACCTCCGGCGCCGTCAGCCCCCCGGTCACCCCTCCCAGCTCGACCACTCGCCCCGTCACGCCCCCTACCACCACCACCCGCGCCGCCACCACCACCACCCGCGTTGCTCCTCCCACCACCACCACCGCCTCCACCGGCGGCCCTACCGCTCCCAAGTGGGGCCAGTGCGGTGGCCAGGGCTGGACCGGCCCTACCGTCTGCGCCGCCGGCTCTACCTGCCAGGCCCAGAACCAGTGGTACTCTCAGTGCCTGTAAGCGGCTCGCCGCGCGCGCGCCTCTTCCTGCTGAAGAAGCGGTTCCGGGGCCGGCTGTCTGGTCCTCCGCCTCTCGCGCCCCCTCTCCACCTCCCCCTCCTCGTTCTCCTCCACCTCCGGCTCTGCGGCGCGCCGTCTCCGGGCGGCGCCGGCGTGAGCCCGGCGGCGAGGTAGCGGGCACGCGAGACGGCGGCCTCCTTCCGGCCCCCTGGCATGACGATGATGATGGGGAGACACGAGTTGAAAATGCACATATCTTTGGTTATGGTTTCTTGCACATATATAACTTTCTTGCACATGTACCTTCGCTTTAGGTTCGAGTATATACAGGTTGCCTACTACTTCTTGTTCACCGTGACTGTTTGTGTCTTGTTTGTGTCTTGCTTTTGCATGTGGCTTGCAGTGCAAATTTCATGGATCATTTCCTGACGATACCATCGGCTGACTTGATATAAACAGGACTGAAACGCAAAGGCAGTATTCCTTCAAGAATCAGTACATAACCGACTACTAAAGAAGCCTTACAATGATCAGCATTCGTCATTTAGGGGCGTGTGTCCGTTTTCAGTGCAAGTCCCCAGCGGCATAGAGTTGCCTTCATACAATGGAACACCGTCATCACAATGGCGAGCGCCTACTGTAGGCAGAACAAGCTAGTGACGTTCTAGTTTCATTACTCTCGGTGGAAGAATATCTATGAGGCCAATCGGTGTTCTTGCGTTGTTGATACTTCCAATCGATTCCTGAACATATACTCAAGTTGTATGGGATGAATGACCACTTAGTTGATGCTGGAGTGTGCATTCCCCCAAAAGATTCATCATGACGAACAGGGTGTTGATGAATTAAAGAGGTCACCTTCCATAAGATCTGCCATGCATACATGGCAAGAGCTGTTGATGATACGCCTTACAGCAGGTTCATGCCTTGCCTCCTATTCAACTGCGTACTTTCCTGTTTCCACACAAGTTCAAAATAGTCCATCAATGGTTCATCGTGCTTCTGACCTCCTTTTCTACATCCACAAGCTATCCTTACTGTGAATGTGCCATCACAGCACCACGATTTACATTCAAACCCGCGCATCGTCCTGCCAGTTCTGGAACGCATACGCATGAACAAAATCACCTCTCAAACGAACACGATCAGCAATTCACAATGCCGACTTTTCGCAAGCCCAACATGGGATCGTAAGTTCCGCGATGCAGTGACTTCTCACATACAATGGACAGGCCTCTGAAAGACCATGCTGACACTTGCCAGGGTCCTCAAATCTCCCATTGTTCTCTTCAAGATCGGCCTCGAGCACGAAGAGTTTCGAGTGCATGAATGCATTCTGCTCCCTCTTTCCCCACAAATACGTGAGAAAATCACAGCAGGAGGCCAAGGTCAAGTCATAGAAAAGTTCCTCTGGGAGGACGTGGAACCTACGACTTTCGCAGACCTCGTCGAGTTTGCCTACGGAACCGACTACACGACCGATATTTTTCCCGAACACGCCAACGATGGCAACGATGACGACATTTACAATCTCAAGGAGTGGCTTGACAGCTGGACGGGCAAAAAGGGCGCCATCTACTTTCACGGCCTTCGTTTCATCGAGGGCCTCCACGACACGCCTGACGGGTACTTTCCTGGTGATCAGGACGCCGAGCACAAACCCATCAACAAAACCAAATGCTCGACCACCATCTTCCGGCACATAAAGCTGTACGCCCTGGCCAAGCGGTGCGGAATTCAGAGCCTTCAGGACATCTGCCTCTACAAGTTACGCAACTGCCTTGTACGCCTGCCGTGGGAGTTCTACGACGAAGACTTCATCCTCAAGGCGACCCGATACATCTGGGCGAACACGCCAGAGGGAGAGCGCAGCTTGCTTCGCAGAATTTGGATCGATTTCATTCTTTGTGATCTCGACTGCCTGATCGATGGCAGGCTCGAAGACCCGATCCGATGCATCAAGAACTTTGGCTCCGAGCTCCTGCTTGCTGTGCCTCACGGATACTGGCAAGAGCTCCAGAGTGTGCGGGAGCAGAGAGCTAAGAAGTAGACAGCCGAGTGCGGGGCAGCCTGAAGTCGGATATCGGCCTGAAGTTGGGACGAGATGAAACCGATCTGGGGCGTTCGAGACATGGGACGACTGAACAGGGATCATGACACTTGCATGGTGATCGCTATTTTCGGAGGGGACATGGACACGCCTGGTAAAGGGTTTTTTGCTTCACCTGCTTTCCGGGAGCTTCCGAAGATGTTGCATCCCGTGAGTGATCACGCTATGCGCTCGAAATACGGTCGGCTGCCCGTAGCCTAGGTAGTCTTCTTATACCCATTCCTGACAGCAAGGACTCTATTGTTGCTATATTCGCTATCATAGATGCCCGCAGTGCAGATCCAACAAGGAAAGAGCACAATGAGTGATGTGATGGTAGAAAAGTCTGTAAAAGTGTGTTGGCATAACTAAAATCTGCCTCACAAGCAAGCCACTCAACTCAATGGCGCTTGCATGCATTTAATCCTCATCAAAGAAGCTGCCGGCTCTCTTCAACATACCCATGTCAACCAATCCCATTACGCGCCCATCCAACCGCCTGAGCCTCTCATCCATGAACCACCAGACGGTGCCAACAAAAAGGGCAACAAAGATCTGGGAAACACCAATGCCAATGACGGACGATCGCAAGCCTGCAGACCTTCGGGCCTCCACGGCGCTCGCGACCCCTAGTATGAAAAATGCAGCAAACATGTTCTTCCAGCACACGAGCCCGGCGTCCATGTCGGCTACGTTACGCAGGCAAACGTGCAGGTTCGAGCTCGTGTACTGCGCAGACCGGTAGATGACAGGTCTCGCGAGGGCGTTGAGCACGTAGACACCCACAGCCAGGAAGCCGGCGAGCACAGACAGCAGCTTGAACGAGATGTTTCGGCTGCCGTGGATCTCGAGGCCGAAGGACAGGATCCCGATGGCGGCGAGGACGGTGCCGACGCCCAGGGCCGCGACGAGGTTCAGCAGGGTAAAGTCCTTTCTGGCCTTGCGGCGCCAAAAGGCGAAGAGGGCGGCGGCCGAGACGCCGCAGATGAAGGGCGCCAACAGGAGGAACCCGATCTGCGCCTCGTCAAGGATGGCGGCCGTGAGCGGCGAGACGACATGCGCGATGGCCCACAGAGCCGAGTACGGCAGGAAGGTGGCCAGCGCCAGCAGTGCCGTGGTCGGGGCGATGAGAGCGCGGGGTCCCTGCAGGAGGGTTCGGTTGTCGACGAAGCCTCGGAAGGAGGAGATGGGTTTCATGGTGCGCAGATATTGCCTCGCCTCGTGCGTGTTGGGCACGTGGAGGTTGAACTTGCCGATCGAGCGGCGGGCCGTCGTCCAGGTCGGCGTGCGGGCGGAGGGGAGCGCGTTGCCGATGAACCAGCGGTCGTACGCCGTTTCAGGCGCGGCAAAGGCGAGAAGCGGGATGGCGACGATGAAGAACGTGTTCAGAATTTCGAAATGAATTTCGAAGCGGGCCGCGTTGCGCATGGCGACGCCGCTGAGCAGCGGGGGCCCCCAGGCCGTCGCGGCTTGCAAGATGTCGTAGGCGGCGAGGCGCGGGTTGCGCTGGTGCTCAAAGTATGTGTCGTGAATCGAGCTGAGAACGAGCGTGTCGAAGGCGCCCCAGCCGATGCCCTGAAAGATGCGAGCGCCGAGGGTAGTGCCGAAGGTGGTTGAGCGCATGTTCCACAAAGCGCCGATGAAAAGAAATACCATGGAAAGGAGATAGACGGGACGTTTGCCCCAGATTTTGGAAGCGGTCACGCTGGCGAGACCTGTGATGGACGAAAATATAAAGGGAACGGCTGTTAGAGATGCAATGGCGGTATGCGAGACCTGGAACTGGATGGCAAGCTTGGCGGCGACGGGGATGAAGGCTGTCTTCATGGCGCTCACGAGGCACACTGTCACGAGCAGTGCGAAGAGATTGAGGTCTTTCTTCCACAGAGGCCAGTTCTAGACGCTTGTCAGTCGAGAAGGCCTACGACAAAAAAAAATGAGTACGGGTAGTCCTTACCAGAGGGTCATCCTCATCATCGGACGGCTGAGGGCTAAGTTCTGTCGTGGCATATCTGCCCGAGCCATACTTGATGGTCCTTCCCGTCATCGTCGTTGAACGAGAAAACCTCCGCGTCGAACTGGTCGTCGGCCGCACCGGACTCGCGACTGTCGTGTTGGAAGCTGTCTGTGGTCGCGAGATGGTCGGCATCGGGCGCGTCGGGTGCGACGTGAGCGCTGCTAGCTTGAGCGGCCGTAGTCCTGCTTTGATCTTTGATCCCGCCCCTTGTATCGAGGACATGGTTCCCGCGAGTGTGGAAGTTGTGCCAGGTCTTGTCGAGCTGGTAGTTGGTCGCGACGACATTGTCGCGCCCTTGAGCTTAGTCGTCGCATTCGCGACAGGTCTCTTCGCGGGCCCGGATCGAGTGGTCGAGCTCGTCGCTGGCCTAGGCGGATCTTTGGGCGGGACTGGTGGTGGTATGTCAAGCGACACTACCCTCGCCTTGTGTTGCGCTTCATAGCTCGTGGCGGGCTTCGCGATAGTGCTTATCCTCGTGGCCTTGTCCATTGCGCTATGTTGTGTCGCGCTGTTCAAGGAACTGTCGCGAGATGTGTGTCGTCGAATGCCCTGAGGATCAGGCTTGCACTGGACGATGAATGTCCATCCAAAGGTATTATCGTCGAAGCTGAACCAGCAGCGTCTGCGCGTCAAGCGCTGGAGAACCGAAGAGAACGTACAGCAACACACCCGGCCTGTGGTGGTTGAAAGAATCAAATATGGAAAAGGGAAGGGGAGGGGTTTCACGATGCGTTACCTCGCCATGTGGGTGATAAAGTATAAACCCTAGGACTACGACGGTAGGAAATTAGGAATTGGATGCAAGGGATCGACCTGAGGTGTGATGCGATCATGCTGGGTGAGGGTGTCGTAGCGAAACCCAGTTTCTCAAAGCGCTCGCATGAGGTGTGGGTGG